TTTTATTTTTTAAAAATTAAAAAAAATTCATCTCAAAATTACGTTTATTTCAATAAATTTTTATTAAAAAAATTTAAATTATCTTATTTTTAAAAAATGTATTAAGATGATTTTAAAAAATAAATAAATAAATCGAAGAAATATTAACTCTTAAATTTATTTAATAATAATATATTAAAATTATATACAAAAATTATCTTTATATATTATCTAAAAATTAATGCTCTGCTGGATCCCACTCCCGCCAAATATTTAAAATCTTGACAGCCATTTTCAGTGAGCGGGAGTTACTATTCCCCAAATGGCCAGAATACGTTCTGTCATAAACAGTAGCTGCGTTATCTTCGTCCGATTTTTTCCCCTCCATATCCTTGCCGTCCACGTGGCAAATAATGTAAAGGAGGAACAGGTAATAATAATCTGCCGACAGATTTTCACGTGGCTCTCCATCTGCCAGTGACCTTATCATCTGTACTTCTGTTTAAAAGTCCCTTTTTTTTTTTTTTTACAAAAGTGATGTTAAAAAATTTAATATGAGTTAGTTGTTAACAACTGAAAATTTTTAATTAGTGAATATTTTACCTTTTCAAACAAAGCACGTAACCGTTAACTACTTTTTAATAAAATTTATGAACGGTGATAGAGTTTAAAACTCTGATCACCGTCTCACCCAAACCCTAAGGTTCGAGCGCGAATCATTGGTTAAGCCCCGGTTCGCGTTTAAAAGTCTTTAGAAAGGTCATACAGATGGAGATAATAAATGGTTGAAGCAGAGGGTTTTTGTCTATGTTTGATAGCTAGTTCTTGCCTACAGCTTCAGCTTGAGGAGAAATTAATAATTGGTCAATTAAAAATATATGATATTAATAATTAAAAAATGTTACTATAATACTATTTAGTTTTATAAATTCATCCTAATGGGTAGTTTTTCTTATGGAAAGCCTTTTTATAAAAGAATTTAGTTGCCTCCTAGATTACTTACTTCAATAATAATTGAGATTTTTTAATTTATGCTTTTTAGAGTATAAGTTAAATTTTATTAATTATAAAAAAATGTTACTATAATACTATTTAGTTTTATAAATTCATCCTAATGGGTAGTTTTTCTTATGGAAAGCCTTTTTATGAAAGAATTTAGTTGCC